GATTGTCTTTGGTTCCCAGAAACAAAGGGAGAGCGTCATCTGTCACCTCCAGTCTCTCTCCCTAAAATCTTCAAACAAGGTCAGAAATCTAGGGGTCATACTGGTCTCAGACTTAAATTTTAATAGCCACATCAAATCAGTAACATCAGCAGCTTTTTACCATCTAAAAAACATTGCCAGGATCAAAAACATAGTGTCTAAAGCAGACTTGGAGATTCTTATCCATGCATTTGTCTCCAGTAGGTTAGACTACTGCAATGGCCTGCTCACAGGTCTGTCCAAACAGGCTGTAAAACAGCTGCAGTACATTCAAAATGCAGCAGCTCGAGTCCTGACTAGAACCAGGAAGTACGACCACATTAGTCCAGTCCTCAGGTCTCTGCACTGGCTTCCTGTGGCTCAGAGAATAGACTTTAAAACAGCTCTGCTTGTGTACAAGTCTCTCCATGGCCTCGCACCAAAATATATTAGTGACATGTTAGTCCCATATGAACCAGCCCGGACTCTGAGGAGCACAGGGACTGGACTCCTGTTAGTGCCCAGAGTCAGAACTAAACGTGGGGAGGCTGCTTTTCAGATTCATGCTGCTAAAATCTGGAACAGTCTTCCTGAAGATGTGAGACAGGCCTCCTCTCTGACAATGTTTAAAACCAGGTTAAAGACACTTCTGTTTAGCTGTGCATACAACTGTTCTGTGATTATTTATGATTTTAATGCTTTCTTATTTTGTTCAGCACTTTGAATTGCCCTGTGTATGAATTGTGCTATATAAATAAACTTGCCTTGCCTTACACCACATTGCTCTGTTTGTGTCTGGGTGTTTTGTCTTTGGGATGCACCAATTTCTGTCTTAACATGCTGAAAGGTTTGAAATACACAGGGATTTTGTGTTGCCTAAAGATTCTTTGTAGTTTCTGAAACTCCAGCCACATAAGACAAGGACACTCCTCTCCTCCTATTATCTCGAATTACAATATTGTCTCATTAAACCACCTTCTGAGCCTTAAACATAAAAAAGACATAATGAACGTTTTATTTGTATTTACTTACTCATTTGAGCATGTGTGAAAATCAAATCACCAAATCATTCATAAGGTTGTGTGATTACATTTTCTGGGCGTTTCCTTTTAATGTATGTATGATATCAATTTTATTTACAATTACAGTAACAAAAAGTTGTGAGTAATAAGGAAACAATTCAAAGCGTCATCCAAAGTTCCGGATAATCCCATCGTTTTGAGAGCGTTTTTTGAAAGTACTTGTAAACGCACTCTACTTTCTTAACCATCCTTCTGTTGAACACACACTTAACTCGAGCCATTTTTACTGCTAATAAAACACACTCACGAGGTGTCTACTGATCTGTCATATTAGTAGTATGTGTTGTCTGCAAAGAAATGTCTCTATGGGGACAGATGGCACACCGTCAATCACAGACGTTATGCACGGCTTTAATTTATGAGTTATTCCCAATTTGAGAGACAGGTGTAATTTGTGCCACTTCTTTAGCAGCTTGTTGAAGTGTCTGATGATGAAAGTTGACGATTCTCAAGGAGCTGTCTCACTCTCTCATGCCCGGTGCTGACAGCTTTCAAGATGCCTACTGCACTGTGGTGGTTGTATTAGACTGAATGGAGGAAGCTGTTAAGTTTGTATTCATGAACTACTTGGGTTATTGTTATGCATCTGTTTTTACCTTCTACTTTTTTTACCCATTTGCCCGTAATGTTTCCTCTTCCAGGATTTTGTTGCTCAATTTTTTGCTATCCTGCTGCTAAAATAATTGAGCCATTTTCATGATTATCAGGCTTTTTACACAGTCATTCAAGCTTTTTTTCCCCACATTTGTAAATATATTTGTGGCGGAGCTCTCAGTCTCTCGTGTAACAGATGTAATTTGGGGTTGTAAAGGTTCCGCATTTGTATTCAGCGCAACAGGAAAGATGGCGACCGATCACAGGGTTGAGTGTGTACTTTAAAGTTTATCTGGCAGCACACTGCAGAGGCACTGTTAAGCATAATGAATCATTTAGAAGAATATTTTCAACCGTGCATGGTACTTTGTGATGCGAAAAAGTGAAGGAGTCAGCTGCCAGATCTTGTTATACCAGAGAGGAATAACACCAGCATGTCGGGGAGTAATTTCCACTCGAAAATCATTGTATAAGGTGATGCGTATAGTGGAATTATTCGTTTTAAATGACAAAGAAACGCCACCAGGCCAAGATTCTGTTTACTGTAGATTTGTGCAAAGGCAACCCAATTCACTGTGTATTTTTTGAACAATCGTGTCAATTATTCTGCGAAAATCTAACATGTCTAACATGGACATAGGAAAGTGGTAGTCATAGAATGTGTTAAAAATATATATTTAAACCATAGTTATTGATCAATTTTCTAATGATACATAAGTAAAGTAAAATGTTGTGAACAAATCTGAATACAACATGCATCTTCCACTTGTTGAACTAGTTTGATTATAGATGATTATTTGTATACATACTTTTTGTGGTTTGGTACCTCAGCATTCATAAAGAGCTGCATTCAATGAAAAGCACAAACTCTTGAGAATTGAATGCACAGCCATTTGACACTTTTCCCACGCACAATAGCCTCATGAGTGCCAGACAATGGGCTCCGGGTGTCCAGTCCCACAAGTGTGAAGTTTCTGCGGACGAGCTGCAGACACAAGCGCTCCACTTGTCTTCTTCCCACGCAAACTTCCCTCTGTCCAAACACTCTCCTCTGATACTCTCCAAGCAACCAACCAGTCCTTAATGCCAAGATACAATTATTTCTTTGTAATGTTGTTTCCTCCAGGGCTTAGTATTTCCAGACTTAAAGTTCAATTCAGTTTATCTTTGTATAGCCCTAAATCACAGTTTTTTGTGAGAAAGAGAGAACCAGCCCTCACTCGGCCAATTAGCTCTCAACGTACAGACAGCATGGTGTGGTTGGAATGAAAAAGACTCTTTATGTTTTTGCATTTCATGCTAAATGAATCTAGGAAATAAACAGAAGGTTTAAATAAATATTACTGTGACACATACAAGATAAAAAATTAAGGGATTTAGGCCCTGTCCACACGAAGTCAAGCTCAGGCCTAAACGCAAAAATACTTTATCAATCCAGTGTATCGTCCATACGAGGCCGGCGTTTTGGGGGGGTGTAAACGAACATTTTTGAAACTAGGTCCCAGAGTGGAAAGATTTCAAAACTCCGTATATGCCGCTCCGTGGTTACTGCCTCTCCGCAATGTATCTGAGACGCTTGCGTCATCGCCCCGCCTCTTGTTAAAGCACGCATGCGGCGCACTCAGAAAATAATGACAACAACAATGTAGCTTGTTGGTTTTGTAATCCAGTGTGACCCGAAGCAACAGTTCAACCTCATTTTCCGTCCATACTAATGTAGTACCAGCTCACCCACTCGCCATGTTGTCTGTTTACAAAATTCCGCGCATGCCCATGGAAGTTTGGGCTTGATCCCGTCATTGCGTCACAGCGCCACCAACAGGTCTGGCATAGTTTCACAGCGTTTTCAGGCGTATTGACTACATTCATATGGACGCACACATTTACTGAGCTAACTCCGTGTTTACAGAAAAAGTTTCTGAAATTATAAGCGTTTTGTCTTTGTGTGGATATAGCCTTACAGAGCACAAGATTACAAAGTACATCAAACAGCTCTGACACATATTTGTCCCTTCTCTGTGCACCCAGAGGAGAAGCCGCTCAAGGCTCCAGCCCTTAACGGTTTCAAAGGAGTCTTGTAACTTTCCTGTGTTGCTCCAGCTTTGTAACTGTAACAGTGAATAATATTTATCATGTATATACTGTACATAATAAGCATCACTGGAAAACGTAAATCACACAACATTATGTATACTTTGGCCATTTTATTTTCACACACGCTCAGCTGCGGGAAATGTGAAGCCAGCTTGTGACATGCATGTTTCAAAACACAATACACAACTGTGTTATTATTAACTACCAATGGTATTTATTATTGTGTAAATATTATAAAAAGGTAGCTAGTACTAGAACAAATTGAATTTGAGGATGGACAGTCTTCATCCGGAGGGTCTTGATTGTGTGTGTCTAATACCACAGCATGCCCCCTCTGAGCGTAAGTTGTTTGGTTAAAAGCACAGCGGTATATTTATTCATCAGGGTTTTACAAAGTGAAAAGGGTTTTTGAGATGGAGGCTCGTTCTCGCTGGAGAAGGCAGAGGGGAGTGAAGCAAATGTAATCACTATCATTTCCACAATCACCTCACAGCTACAGCACGATTCTCCAGATGTAATGACAGCCGCACTTAAGTAATGGCAAAGTTTGACAAGGCTTCAATTGGCGTTCTGAGTGCGGGAAGAATCTTTTTAGGGTCGCAAATCAGAACTACTCCAACAAGTAAGACGCATTTCCAAGACTGGTGAGGTGTTCAAAGACATTATTACTATCAAGGCTGTTGATTTTTCACACACTTGTGCCAACATATGAGGAAAGACTGCAATAATCTTAAGACACATTTACATGGAATGTAGTATCACACCAGGCGTGAGGTTTTTTTTGATCCGTAAAAAAAAGGCCAGGACAAAAGCAGACAAAATAAAGTCTTTAAAATCGAATAAAAACCTGCGCTAATATATGGGAAATAAAAGTAAGTTCAAAAATGGGGGCTAGAAAGATAGGGTGAAACCATCCATCCATTCCATCCATTTTCTTCCCCTTAATCCATTTCTGGGTCGGGGGGGTGGCAGTCAGAGCTGCGCCCAGTACACAGAGCACCAGCCCCTCACTGATCCTCCTGCAGGTGGTGAGTCCACAGAAGCCTTGATTATTCAGCGGGGGCTTCGGGCAAAGTGGGGTTAAGTGTCTTGCCCAAGGACACAACGACAGCAGTCATCAGTGGGAGTCGTGGAGTAGGTCTTAAGGTGGGCTCAAACCCACAACCTTCAGGCTCTAAGGCCAATTCTCTACCAACTGAGCTACATTCGCCCTCAGGGTACCATTAGCCGTATACTGTATGGGCTTTTCAGTGCCGGCTGGTGCGCGTGTCTCCTTCTCTGGTCGTTGTGGTCCCTCTGACCTGCTCTCGCTGGTCCGCTCCTGGCCTCGTACCCGCGGCTCAGCTCCCGGCTTCGTACTGTTCCCGTGCTCGTCCCGCTCTGCAGATCTGTTCCCAATCAATTTCAGATTTCCGTTGTTGTTCCTCCACGGCCCGCTCTTTCCACACCGGTCTGAGTTTGCTTCCTCACCTCCAGACTCCACCCCTCCTCCCCCCTCTTTCCGTGTCTGCTCCTGTTCATTCATAATTTCCCCATTTTATGTCTGAGTCCACCAATCAGTGTCTGTGGGGGTGTGGACTACTCATTAACCTCTACCATAGTAATCTTCCCAGTTCACACAGCACACAAAAAACCACAGCAAACGAAATAAATCCACACACTTTTTTGCATGTAGAAAATAAAACTGTATTAAAAAATTGTAGCTGAATTGTCGGAGATAGGTGCGCTGTCAGTAGCATCCAGTTGATTAGGTCAAAGCCAGAACTAATGGTTGAATGAATTTTATTTTGCCCATTTCTTGAATCATGTAACGAATAAGAGCTTGAACATCAATCCAAAATTACCATAGAATTATTTCTGATTATTTACTAATTACACTGTTGACGTTATCAGATGATGACTATTAACTCACATATTTATTAAACACAATCTTTAACCATTTCATGTAAATACTGTACATACCTTTTTCCCTTTGTCAACTGAAGCTAAACCTTTGTTTTTGTTACTTTTGAAGTTTTCTCGATACATTTCGTAGTGCTTTTTTACCACTGTGTCTAGGTTGACAGTTGTTGGGTCAGAGCAGGGCTGGATTGGGACCAAAAAAGGGCCCGGGCATTATTACCTTCTTGACGGTCTAGGTGTGTTTTTTGTTCACGTTTTTTTTACAGTTTGTTTATACAGTATGCAGAAGCAAATACTGTAGAGGATCAAAGTGTATGGATATTCAACAATAAAATAAAGTGCAATAGTCTACATTACAAGAGAGTAATAAACATGTCTCAGAGTGAGGGAGGTGGACACAGACAACACTATTGTTTGTTACAGGGATGAGAATTGGTCAAAAAAGTCTGAAATGCATAATGTCAGCCATTGGCTGACAAGCAGAGAATGGTGCTGCGTGCGTTTATGGTCTTTATACATGGCCACGTTGTGGCTGCCCGCTCACCGTGTTGTGAGCGCGCAGCCTCAAACAGTTCCTGGATGCGGGAACCGCTCATTACAAAGTGGCCGCAGCTGCCCGGGAACACTGCGGCCGCTGAGGTGGCGGAATCCCGTTCGAGTACATAGAGCAGGTGCCCCACGGACACGCACGCCCTCCTCAAACAATTCTCAATGGATTCAAACTTTTCACAGACTTTTTTGTTGTTGTATGAGGCAGACAGCCCGGCCCAAATATGGGCATCGGCCCTTCGGGCATTGCCCGGTACGCCCGATGGCCTGTCCAGCCCTGGGTTAGAGAGTGTGTGGGCCTCTGCCTTGTCTGAGTAAGTGTGTTTGTGTGTGTGCTTTGTGTTGTGTGAGAGGGGTCGAAAACAAATAGGCGTCCACTTCGTCTACCCTTTTCCAGCTGCATACTTTTTTCTCTAAAATAAATTACTGCTACTAGAATAGCTATGATTTAAAACAATAATAGTATATAATAATTCCAACTGCCAGGCACGCTGGTAGTGCCAGATTTAGTTTTGTTGTTCCTCCTGTGACTGCAAAGGTTTCCTCCAGGTGCTCTGGTTTCCCCTACCACCACAAGCATGTACAATAGTTCAGGGGGATGGGTGTGTGTTTCACACCGAAATAATAGATGGTGGATGGTGTGTTTTACTGTCTTACTTTGCAATAGTATGAATGCATTTAATTCAGCTATTTCTCTACCCTTGCTGTATCATGCATGTTGTCCTAACCTGCTTTCATAGGGCATATAATGTATTAATAAACATTGCTTACCAACCCATTTTTTTTTTTATCTCTTTTCAAACGTGTGGTGGGGAGCTCATTTTTTACCCTGAACCATACTGTACGAGTCTATTCTGGGCCAGCCCGAGAGTCAGTGACCAGGTGCTGCCAAGCCCTGGGTCCTGCTGCTGTTTCCGTAACATTCAGAGCATGATAATCGTCCTGCAAGTACACGCATGATCACGGCACACATGAAATAATCTCCCTGTCAGTTGGCGAGCAACAATTCTGCAGCTTTGAGAGATTACAACAGTCTACTATCGGCAGAACCCATGAATCGATCAGCGGGGTGAGAGAGACCTCTGAGCACTCCATGGATTTAGTTTGATCAGCCACTGTTGAGCCACTAGCTCAAAGAAAGAAATGGGGGATGTATAATTAACTGAAATAATTTAGTTAATAAGGATTAAATTAATTAACTTTATAACATAAATACCATTTCTACAACATTTCTGAGTCCTAGTCAATTACAATATGCAAAAGCTATAGTGAAAGAACTAAGTTATCACTATTTTAAGAGCAAGGAACTAATTACATTGATTTCAGTATTTTATTTGTGGATTGAAAGTATGTTGCCCCAGCTTAAAGTGATCTCAACTCTCTCACCAGAAGTGATGTCACACGTTCGCCCAACAAGAGCTTACTTTAATGTGATGATGACAATTACGTTTCAAAAGCCTCTCTAATATATGCCATTGTACTTCCAAGGATATAGGTACGCCATACAACACCCTAACCCTAACCCATAGCTGTAGGATTATTCTTTTTTAACAATAAGGAAGTCAAAAAATGTAAAGGCCATCTTTCAGAACTGATAAGGAAGACTCAATAAACGGATCATTTTTTAGTCCTCTGAACAAAAAGGACCTCTGTCTACGGTCTATTAATTGTTTTGTTTACGTAGCTCCAATCTCCTCATACCACACCGCTGCCTCTGGAAATTAATGATTCTTGGCTAAAGGTTAATATCCACAAAACTGAAAATGAATCAACACTGAATTAATGAGATCATTACTTGCACATTGATAATGAAATTAGTCGTTCTTTCAACGCTGGACTTTCTGGGTTGCAATTGTATTGATTTGGAAATGAATGCGGCTTTGGGTGGAGTCCTTGACCTTATGTTGTGTGGTCAAACATTCTGCAGGACTGAGTGGGTAGAAGATTATATGTACATCCATAAAGCATAAAGCCAAGGACAGAGACCTTATAATCAATACACTTGGCAAAAGAGTACCGGATAATGAACAGGAACATTTGAATGAATTGGAAATGAATTAGAGCTTGAATTAGAGTTAAAAGAGGAACCCAAATTGAAGGACTGAAAATAAAAGTGTAATTAATCAAACATATCCAAGGTAACATCAATATACACACCTGAGAACAAGCCAAAAACAAACAATGGATGAACAACAAGCGCGGAAAAAGCACAACAAATAATTACATGCTGGGAGTGACAAAAAAAATCACATTAGGGAAAATGATCAACAGGAGACAGGAAGCAAAAAAAATATAGTAGTGTAAAACTAGGTCAAAATAATCAAAAAGTCCACACCATGACAACAGCTTTTCATGGTCATAATTTTGTATAGGATGCCTGGAATGTGAAGTTTTAGCCATATCTGGATGAGAACTATGCATAATAATAAACATTATGTAAACATTTAACAAGCAACACTGAGCTAATTTCCATCTGTTGTCCCAGTGGTCTCTGCAGTAACCAGGCCCATCTTGCTGAGCTACTATGAGACAAGATCAGACATTTACATATTCCTAAAGGAGTTGAATAGGAGTGGTTAAAGTGGTTGATGGATTTTGTGGAGATATGTTGTGATAGGGTGTATTCATGTGACATCACAACATTCCAAAGGGCCTATTCACTAAGTGCACAATGCATAATGGTGTGTGGAGTGGGGAGGTCACATGCAATTGATCTAACGCACACAATCTAAAACTGTCATATAAGAGCCTGATAATGGCTTACGGAAGGCAGTTAAACTAAACTAAACCAAATCCTCAAGTTCTGTACCTTATTTGTTGATTTTGAGAAGTAAGTCAGAGAAAAAGTGTATACAAAGTTCGAAAATTCCTCCTGTCTCGTTTGTCTAAATGGTACAGTTCTTCAAATGACCAGCAGATGGCGTTTATTATTATCGTATAACTGCATTGAAAACACTGAGGCCGTGGTTTAAATACCAGGTTTACGTGATCCTTGAGGTTTCAAACTTACTGCACGTTTAGTTCTCAGGCACAAGTGGTGAATAGTTTAATATTTGTGGTGGTGAGCAGCTGAAAATGTCTCTGTAACTATGGTAACAGTTCTAGTATTTGTTTTGCTAGAATTTTTCTGTAATTCCTGGGCCAATCCTCACAAAACAAAAAACAGTTAGAAAGCTTAACTTCTTCTTTCTCAGTACCTATTATTTAATTTTTTTTCTTTTTTACGTGTCTAGAATATTCAAAAACCTGTATGATATTGTTCAGTAGAATGGACTGTCTTTTATATTCTCTTTCCTCATTGCTTCTTTCCCATAAAGAGATATTTTAGCACATGCCTCTCAGCTGAAATAAAATTCTACAACACAGACACAACCTGTTGGATGTGTGATAGATCCGTTTTGTCGTATAGTTTAGGTTGCCAGACTAATATCAGTATGATGTTTGTTCTCCATTGGCATTCTGGGAGCTGCAGGAGTGGCCTTGGACTGCTGTGACGTGTGACTTTATCAGCAGATCTTGTCGGTGTGACTTTGCTTGCCATAAAGGGTTTTTGTAGTCGTCGATCCGGTTGTATTTGATGATAATATCCTAAATAACCTCTTGCTCCCTGCTTTTCTCCTCACAGGTGAATGTGAGTCTTCTGTTGTGTCTGTTGTATTGATCTGGTGTAGCTTTATGTTGTTGTTTTTTTACCTTGTCCAAGATGTCATTTTCATGTCTTTTGAAGTGAGTTTGACAGGTTTGTGACAGCTAGGGAGGCCACACTTTCAGATGTTGATTATTTTCTCTTCTCTCATTGCGATTAACATGAGAAAAATGTACGGCAGCAAATATCTGTGATTATTGACCAAAGAACAGTCAACACCTCAAAGCTCTTGAAATTCCATTGTCGAACATGATCCAATTCATCTTCCAAATTCATAACTACTGTAAAATAGCATAATTATGTTAATTTGAACTATGGTAAATATGTCTTGGAAGACTAAACATGCTGGTCATATCGGCTACAACGAAACAAGATAGATAAAGGATTAAACAGATGTTTTACTAATTTTCATTTGGTACAACTTGTTA